TATAATTACTGCGTTGCGCAAAATTTATCCCTTCAATTTCTGTCTGTATTTGAAATTTGTTTTCTTAACACTGACTCACTCTTGGTCCTCGATTCGTCTTGTCTTTGTTTTCGTCGAAACTCGTACATACTATGAAATGGCGCTGGTGGGTCGCTGAAGATGCTTTACGACAGAGTCTGTCCCGTGATTTATCGCGGAGTTTTATCATTTGTTCGTCTTCCGATTCGAGAACGGGAAACGTTTAGGGGCTGATTCGTGGTAGACCACGCAGTTTACAGCTTTAATGGACTATAATTTAGGACAGAATCAACCGGAGGGACGCGGGAGAACGGAGGGAATACATACCGCGGTACGTATTTAAGCGGTACAATGTTTTATTTGAATACGATTCCGCTTGAGATATCGCGGCGTACCGCCCGATGTTTACTGACCGAACAGAAGGCAAAATCGAAAGTTTCCTCTCCGCGAAACCTATTTCCCGGGCTGTTGCAAACGATAAAACTTCGTTTTTATTGCCTGATTCGGTTATGTTGTCAGACGGCGGAGGCGATTTTACGACGACCAAAGTATCAAACTCCAGGGGAAACAACTGAAATTCCACCGGCATCTCGACGTAAGCTAAGTAGCGGATAAATTCGGCGATCCTATTGCCTCGTATCTCCGCTCGCTGTCTGATCGGAACATACTCGTGCACATACTCGAATCGATCAAACGCGCGTTACTTTTTAATTAAACTGTTTCTACACACGGTGGCAAGTGGAATCGAAGATTCTTTTTTATTTCTATCGTTATAAATGACAAAATAATGATACTTAGGCACGTGCAACACGGTTTTCTTCCTGTTGGATTGTCCAGTGTTAATTTTGATCCAAATTGGCCACGATTAATTTTACTGTATCGAGAGACACTTGAGAAGAATGGTACAGTCGTTGCCTTAAAATTCTCCTATTCCAAAATAAATTTTCACCGACGATTTAGGGCGATTTATAAGCAGTATCAAAACCAGAACATTCTAAATAACATATTGTAACATAATTTAATGCTCTCTCTCTCGACGAGGAAGAATAATTTAGCGATTCTTCCTCGACACGCGTTACACAGTTATTCACGAATGCACCGTGAGTCGAGTATAATTAGAAAGACAGAACGGCGAACCATCGGACGGGAAGGTCGGGCTACTCGAAAAGGAGTAAAACACCCTTTCACGGTTAACCCGCTATACAAAGAGGTAGTTAAGAGCGATTGTTATCGCTCGGACAATGGTATCGCGACGGGAACGGACCAGTTAACGTTATTTTCAGAGTTAAACTCTGAACCCATTGCCAGGGGTCCATCCTTTCGTGGGTAGGGGAGGGAGGGGGTGTCGATGCAATTAAAATCAGCTACGTTGCCGAGCTTTCTTTCGTCGGCGGCCTCCGCTTAAGATTTAATTGGATTGTTCGTTAATGAGTGATAATCGGACGGGCTGTTGCAAATAAACTGGTGATACGCTTCCAATTAACCTTAATATCCGGCTACTTATTGCGTTCGAGCCAATTACGTCGTTTAATTGTAGAAATTCGGACGTGCCGATCGGCAAAAGGACACCCCGGAGAGTGTAGCGGAATCAATTCGAAATCGATTCAACAACCGAGGCAAACAGGGTGGGCACCCCCCTCAGCATTCGAGGCGTTGCGCGTGTTTCTACCACGGTATCATGGACTAACGATTCTCTGCTTATTAAACTCTGTTTATCGAACTATCTTTTCCCGTCGATAAGAGATTCCATTAAGTTCTGTTTATTCCTCTTACGTTTATTACACCCCCTCCTCCTTCTGTTATATATACTTAACAAATATATTTACATTCAATTTCCCCTGAGCATACTCTTCATTCGCGTTAATGTGGTACGTGAGATGTAATAAACAGCCGGATATTTCGTATTGTCAACGGAATAATTGTTGTACCGGCCGTTTGCAACAGTGTGATTAGGGTGGAAAAGGCAGTTGAGTTTGGTAATGTCAGTCGCGTTAAAAACTTAAAGAATTCGATCTTCTCGATTTTA